ATTATTATTATTATTATTATTATTATTATTATTATTATTATAAAACAACTATTAAATGTATATGGCCATTGTTTATTTCAGAAAAGGCACTTTGCTTAACAGTAGGTTTTAGTTCTGTTTTCCGCCTGCACATTAATGGACTGTGATGTAATGCTTCCTGTTCCTCACTAACAATAAATAGAATTAGTACATCAGGAAATAGGTCACAGGGAAAGGCTGTTACTGATGACCTGTGATGACATCTGTCTAACCCTGTGGAAGGAAGACTTACTTATGTGATCGTTTTTTGTCTGTCTGTCTGTCTGTCTGTCTGTCTGTCTGTCTGTCTGTTAGTCTGTCTGTCTGTCTGTCGCAGCTGTGAGCAGATGCTTATGATCTACCAGTGACGATTGTTGTGGCTGAATAGGTATGGCCAAGGTGTATCTGGAGGTGGATGTTTACAGTTTGTTTCCTGTTATAGAGATTCCTTTACCACTTTGTTATTCCAGAGGCTTCTAACGATCTAAACCTGAAAAGACCACTAACTGTCGGTTTGAAATGTTGTGAACTAGGTCAAATTTAAGCCATTTGATTTTTGTGGCTAATAGACTGAAAATGATTTCCTGTCTAGAATATCTCCATCCTTTTTCTGTCTTTCAAGCTTTTACTTAGACTGAGGTAATTTGCAACATCTTTGTATTTTACCTCAGATAATTATGTTATTTCTAAGTTAAGTTTCAGGATCCCGATTTTATAATAAAGTTTATATTCTCATGGATTTCAGCAATGTATACTCACTTGTAAAGAAAACAATTTATAGCCTAAGTACAAGACTACTCAAATTTGTTTTATGGATCTGTTTTTTTTTTGTGTGTTTTTTAAAATAAAATTAGGCAACATCTTTTCTTTATTCCATCATATTCAATAAGAATATAAATAGATGTTTAATCATCCCACAGTTCAAAATCTTAACTGACATGATGCTTTGCCCTGAGATGGACTGGTGACCTGTCCAGGATCAGCTTTGCCTTTTACCCATAGATCCTTTCAGCAGAATCGTTGGGTGATTACTTTACGTCATTGTCACACTTTTGACACTCGAGATAAATGTCCCCCAGTAACTTCATAAACTCTGTGTGTACGGAAATGCGTTACCACTTGGTTTTTGACCAAAATATTTTATTGCCAGCAGAGGGCGCGCTAGTAACAAGCACTTGCTGGTTGTCAAGTATGCGTAGAAACACACATACCGGAAACATTGTTGGAAATCCTTTCAAAGTAAAACACAAAATATTTTTATTTTTTCTTTATTGTTGGCCTTCAACCGAACGTATCGGCAACTATGCAGGTGAGAAACTTTAAAGAGGGAACTTTAATGGAAATTTAGTTCTATGCTGTGTCTTAAACTTACACAGAAGTGCACTTGACTTTTAACTTGGAACCCTTACCGGAAGTGATGCGCTCATACTTCTAGGATTGAGTTATGTGTCGTGCTTGAGGAGACTGAAGTCTAAACAGCGGTTCAGACTTAAGGGGACTGACAAGTTACGATGGTGAGGGCTCCTCATCCGTCTTTTCGTCGCCTTTCCCGGTTCTCTGTACGGAAGGAGCAGCTACGGGCCTGAGCCCACCTCTATCTGCATTTCCTCCTCACAGGTCAAAGCCCCACTCAGCAACTCAGCAGGACCCTAGCGTAGATACTCCAAGGACATTTTAACGTTTCCACAGCTATTTCGGCCTTTTCTTTGCGATTAAGGAAATCCAGCGTGTTGCTCTCCAGCGCAATGATGTGGACAGATTTAGTAAACAGCAGGAGCAGAAACTGCGGCTGCTTTCATGCAGCCCACTCCCAGTGCTGAGGATGTGTCTCTCCGTGTCATTTTTGAAAACGTCGTTTTTCAAGCAGACGGAGGAGCGAGCGAACGGAAATTGACCGCCGACTTTCGATGCGCTCCGTTCGGCCATGGCATCGCTCAGGTCGGAGGCTGTCTCTTGCTGAAGAGACACATCAGTGGAAGAAGGCCATAAAAGCCAGAGGAGAGGCTGATGAACTTTAAATTGTGCTGCTGAGTGTGCTGGAGACAGAGGTGCACCGGGTTCAGGTATGTTTTCAGCTTTGTCAGCCATCAGTTTTGCCTTTTTCCCGCTGCCATGTTGCTAGGTAACTAAGAGACGGTGGGTTTACTTCAGTTCATCTTCTCAGGGATGTAACGCCACCTGTGATGAATCTTATTTTTTGACAAAGTCGTGCATTTCAAACGTGTTGTGCTTTGCTCTGCAGCAGAGGTGTTTCACACCAACTTTGCATGCAGAATCCATGAGCCTGTTGCTCTGGATCAGGAGGTGTTTAGGATTCCCTCACTGTTAGATTGACTAATCTTATCATGCATATGGTTTAAGATGCGATCCCAAAGAACTGGTCCCTAACAGTAGATGTTTTCAGTTTACATTTATGCAGAAACAGCTCTTATCAACTGTCTCATTTGTGTTTGGCTGTTAAATTTCAGGTTACAAACATTCAAACTGTGCATGCAAATAAGGTATTTAAGCCACAAAATATTCTGGAGTACTGGTAAAATATTGCAATATTATGTTTTCCTTATATTATTAGCCCTAAAATAAAAGAAAATTCTGCCACATACATGCCTATTCATGCCTGGGGTCAATTCGACAAATAATGCAGTTTATGAAGAGAATTGCAGACACTATTCTCTATTGAAGGAGGGCTAGCTGACTGCCTCCAGCCTTTAACTTCTTAGCCATTTTAAGCAAGTATGTGGTGACAGAGGGGGAAAAAACCTCAAGCAAAAACCATCTCTGTTTGAAGTCTGACTGAGGACCACGAGGACAGAGCAGCAGTGGTGTCAAAAGTGCACGCATTACTTAAGTAGCAGTATAGATACTGCAGTTTAAAAACACTCTGGTAAAAGTGGAAGTATCAACTTGACCTCTTTACTCAAACAAAAGTGAAAAACTATGTGCTCCAAAAACTACTTAAAGTATAAAGTAACCTTTAAAAAAACAGCAAGATGTCACTATATGAATTGAAAGCTCAATTTTTTGATTATTTGGAAAAATTCTTTGAAATAGGGCCAAGGATGAGGGAGGTCTTGTTTGTCTCTATCTTCATCTCCTGATACGCTCTCGCCTGTGTCTGACTTTTCAGACATTTCAACATCTTTTCTAAATCCTACATTGTAGCATGGCATAGACAATTCATGTTTGCAGTTTGAAGAACACCTGCTTGCTTCTGATGATTTCCTTTAGCTAACCAATGAGTGTTTGTGTTCTATGACTCATCCAATTAAACTAGTTTTCACTAGATGTGGATGGCGCCAATGATCTGCATTGGATGGAGCACATGACGGGAAATAAATATTTGTAAACATTAAACCGAAGCCAATAGTAACGAGTAACGTTTGTTTTAAAAATGTAAGGAATAAAAAGTACAGATACTTGTGGGAAAATGTAATTAGTAGAAGTCAGAAGTAGGAAGAAATATTAGTGATGGAGTAAAGTATAGATACCTAAAAAGTGCACTTAAGTACAGTAACGAAGTATTTGTACTTAGTTACTTGGCACCTCTGCAGAGCAGATGGAACTCTGAGGTACTTGGTCCATTCTCACAAGTGGAAATGTCTGACTATAAAGTGGAATATTTCAACTGGAATCCCCAGAACGTCAAAAATAAGTGTCGGAAAGTTGGTGCGACAGGACGGTACCCGACTCCCGCACTCAAGATGGATGATACTTGTATCATTAGCAGTTAGATTGAGTTATTTGTAGCAGTTCTTCAGTGTGCATGCAGCATTTAGTCTGCCAATAAAGGGAAATCAATATGTTTCAGTGTAAATCGCACATTGTTTTGGTTGTAAAAGGAAACATATCTACAAGCAGACAACCGGAACGCATTTACTTCAGAGATCATGTCACTCCATCCAAGGATAATAGGACGCACCAACTGGTCCAGTTTTACCATCCGAGAAAAAGGAAAACTGATCTCCACAGAGATCATGGCAGCAGTAGCCTCATTAGTGCTCTATTAAGAATGGCTAAACTGGGAAGTGTTGAGTTAGTGGGATCATATATGGTGAAGAAAAGAGAAGAAGATTGGTTAATGAAGAAGCTCTTTCAGTGTCTCTCTTCCCCAGCATATAGACAAGGTTAGTTGGTGTATCAGTTGGAGAATGAGCATAAAGTCTGGTGTTTGATTTTTGCATCAAGCTGAGTAATTGTTTGCATACCGTCTATAAATATAATATATCTGAGAAATGAGCCAGTTTTCCCTCCATGGTGGAGCTGCAGCCCCATAATTCATTTAGTTATTTGCGGGGTCTTTTTTTTCGTGCGTCTTTATAGTCTTTTTGTGCCTCTTTGGGTAGTTGTTTTCTTCCTCTTCATATTCCTGCTTTTTCTTTGGCTTTTTATCATCGGGGCTGCAAACCTAGAAGTATTTATAGTCAGAACGGTATTAGCATTGCAGAGAACCGCTTGGATTCAGTGAATATTCACCGGATTTTTAAGAAGTATCTCTGCTCTCTGTCTGGTTTTTAATGAAACCTAAGCAGACTGACATTAATACTGAAGATTTAAGGATTTTAATCTTTTTATGGAAAGTCATGTTGCAGCATTAATGTTATTCAGAAGTAGAGCAGCGCTGATCAGCAACTGATTTCCAGCAATTTGTTGCTAAATAGTCTAACACCTTACAAGTATCTCAGCTGTTTCTACTCAACCTTTTTCTTTCTCAATATGAAACCTTCTAGCAGAGCAAAGTATTTTTGTTTTGAAAGTGGTTAATAAATACAGAGGAGATATTATTAGATTCCTGGTTGTTGATGGTGGTTAAAAGGCCTCAAACTGCACTGAAGCAGCTCTGTGTCCAGTACTTTAACTAGGGCTGCCAAATGAATGCTGTGGATGGTATTTGGCTTCATGTCATGATCTTTTCTACCTGATCTGTGCTTTTCTCGGGAAGCCTACATAGTGACACATATATGTGAGACTTTATGGAAAACCCTGCTATATATAACAGCATGTTTGACAGGTCAGAGACTCGCTCACTGATCTACTGTTTCTCCAGGAAAGGAAAGCCTGAGCATAGAATGCAGTCAGTGGTGTTTTTGTACACTAAGAACCTGCACAACAACCATTTCTTGGTGCATACCTGAGGCCTATTTTTGTTCCAGTATGAGTTTGTAGATTCTTGCATAAAGAGTCCCTGTGCTTGACTCAGCAGGGCCCGGGTGAGTCATTGAAGCAGCGCTGACTCGCAGGCTGTGGCGTCTGTTGTCCAGATGATGGCTGTTCTATGAGGGCAGGAGCGGCTGCACCTTATTGCTCCGCTGTCACCTTTTGCTTCCCACTCAGCACCTCTGCAGGCCTTTGAATGACGATTAAAACATTTCTAACTGCAGTCTTGAATGGAAATAGGCTATGCTGCCGAAATAATATCACTGCTAGAACTCTGTGAAAATCTGCTGTTGAAAATATGTTTGAGACAGAAATTTAGAGCATGCAAACCAAAAGAGGTAATTTTGTGGGCCGGTACAGCTGTGAATCGAGAGTGTGAGTTTTGTTTTGACTTGTTAAAACTTGAATCCTCGCTTTTAGAAGACATAATGTCTATAGCCTCAGAGCCCTGCTGTAGCCTTTCTATATTTATTTTTTTTTTTTTTTTTTCCTTTTTAGGTCAGATCAAATTTCAGCTCCTGTTTTTCTACTGCAAAGGGATCTTTTTTTATAGAAAAATACCCCCTGTAATTTAAGATTTTGCAAATATTTATCTAAGCTTTTTTTATTTCATCCTGTTTGTTGCAAAGAGAAACAAAGAAACTGCTTACTCTTAAAACTGTGTGTGTGAGGGTGAGCTTAGATCTGTTGTTTTGACCTTTTTAGATTATGTTGAGGTTTCTCTGCTGAAACTCGACAATTCCTGTTTCGTGTGCCTAACCAGTTTTTTGAGGTTGGACGTCCTTCCTTCCCCTGGGCAAATACTCAACGTACAGGATGTCCTAAACGGAAAATGGCCTTGTTACAGATGCAAATTTAAACACCTACCAGGTGTTTCTTTTTTTTTTTTTTTTTTGGACACAAGGAAAAGGTTTTTCCCCTATTTTACCACCAATTTTTTAAATCTATTGCTGACTAAATTAAAAGTTTAGCTGCATGGAAACATTGAAAATTTTTTGCCTAAAGCTGCTTGTTTTGTCACTTTATCATTTTCTCAACCAAATTTCCTTCATATCTTTATATGTAAAGGCATTTCTTATGTTTGCTTTTCATGCAAAAAAAGCTTTATCCAGAATCTCAATTCCAGTATATCAAATTAAACTAGCAGAAAAGACGACTCATGGTTTTCAAAATCTTGAATAAAAATTGACAAAAAAAAATAAAAAAAACTTTTTTCCTCATCGCAAAGCATGAAGGTGGTGTTAGCATCATGGCATGGGGATGCGTTTCTTCTGATCGGACAGCAAAGCAGGGTAGGATGGAGCTAAATACAGGACATTTAGGATTAAAACCTTAAACATGCATCAAGAGGTGCATTGGACCGGTTCAGCTGCTCAGCCTTTCTTAAAAAACTTGGGGCATTTATAGCAAAAAGGTGGCTCTGCAAACGATATGCCAAAATGTTAACTCTACCTTAGGAATACAATATATTTAAATTATAGTTAGGCGGATCTGTTGACCAGCCAATATTTTAGGCCATTATTAGCATTTCTTTTTTTTTTTTCCTGTTGTCTTCATCAGCCTATTGTTTAATGCATTGGTGGATTTATATCAGTGCATTCAGCAGCCACGCCTTGAACATATAAATCGCATGCATTGTCATTCCCTCCATTTGCGGTCCATCATTAATGCTTTGTTAAAAAAAGTTTCCTTTCTGTTTAAATTGAGACTTGTCTAACATTTATTATCATTGTGTCATTTTATTCACTAAATAGAGAAGGAAATAGGAATTTCTTTCCAGAAATTGGCCCAGAAAAATCAGCAGCATGTATTGGGGATTGTTTAGACTTATGTTGAAATAATCTGTATTGGCATTGGCCTTAAAAACCAAACCGTAATGGTCGATCTCTATTTGAAATGTGTGGTTAAA